GTCAGCGAAATATCCGCGGTATGCGTATAGTTATGGTTGTAGGAACCGTATTTAGAAATAATTATTGCGTCGTAACATCCATATAGCAGCTACAATTGCCAAGATTAAGACAATCATACAAGTCACTTCCTGAGTACTATGGTTTCCATAATTTCTTTATATGGATATAGGCAAAAAATATCATTCTGTTGTGACAACCCTAACTTTTTCTCCGTGTACGAATCAACATACTTACATTATATTTGCACTCCAAAATAATTTTAAATCCTGAATCATGAAGAAAAAACATTTTAAATATATCATCATAACATTCATTTTTGATACAAACTTGGAAGGGGAAGAAAAGGAAAGGGTCCTCTTTTTGATATTATTCCCAAAATCGCTTATTCGAAAATTGTTGAAAAAGATATTATACTGCAACGTAAAATCACTTTTCTTACTTGCGCTTGCTTGGTTTAAACCGCTGTAACTTGCTCATGTTCAGGATTATTTACGTATTATTTACATTAGATTAACACAAATCTTTTTTATGTAAATAATACAGTAATGTAAATTATTATAAATTGGATAATACAATATAAGAAAAGTAATTAAATTTCAAAGTTGTTAATATCGTGCCCAATTGTGTTCCAACTAAATGAGGCAACTAAGATTGCAAATAGAACATAATTATGACAGTCTCTAACGAATCTTCGATAATCTATAGATTATTGTTTACATAGACATAGATGATACATTACACATAGTTTATATAGGCTACATTTTATATGTATAATGTAGATTATTTATATTTTACGCGTAAACGCTCTACTCTGCTAATTAGTTCAACATTTTTTTTTTTAAATATTTTAAAAGCAAGTTAAAAATTAAAATATATATAAAAAATATAAATAAAGAAATCAAATTTTTGTCTTATTTTATTTTGTTTTTTAACTTGTTCTTAGAATATTTTCCTAAAAAATTTTTTTTATTAATATAATTTATTAATATAAAAAACTTTGAAAAAATAAAGGAGATTTAGATATTGAGTTTCCTTTTATATTAGAGGAATTTGGAATTTCCTAAAAGGGAATCGAATCTGAAAATTTGGTTTGGTAGAACACTTTTGAACATTTTGCCACTTATTATAATTTTTCACATCTAGTTTAAATAAAAAATATGGGTACAAGAGTCATTTTTGAAATTTAAAAAACCCCCCCGCCATATTGAATAGGAGCAATATAACATTTCCAAATTTATTAAAAGAAGAAAATTCTTTTAATAAAACCTTTTCAACGAAATATTACTCGATTTCCCTTGCCATTTAAAATTTTTAAGTTATCCTTTTCACATTCCTTTTTTGAGGGAAATTTTTTTTGATAAAAAAATTAACTTCTTAAAATAAAGAAGTACGTATTTCCAATACTTTTCCATATTTTTAGTTGTTTCGAAAAAAGAAGATTCGAACAGAGTTTAGAAATATGCTGTACTTAATATACACACACACATTCTCTTTTCCATTGATTTTATAGGAACTTAATATAAAATAAAATATCGAAATGCTAATAGGTCAAGAGATTTGATGTTTCATTCGGTCACATACTAAGGATTTTTATGATTTTTTTTAAACTCTTTATTCCGCAATTATTGATACGCAATCCCGATAGTCAACAGATTTTTGAATCTAAATATTCTCTCTTATACTTACGATACTTACGACCGAACGTCAATTAATCATTAAGGTCATTACAGTCCCGCGAGCTCGAGCCATGCCACTTGTAAGGCAAAGACAAGCTCGAATGGTTGGATGGACGAGGAAAATGCAATTTCTTGGTCAACTGCCTGATCGTGCCTAGCACGTGGCACGGGTGTAACGTAAGCGGCTTACGTCGTCCAGCTGTAAATAAAACTTAAAAGTCTACGTCAGTGGCGTCGTGCATCCGCATTAATAAAGAAGAAACGACTCCATCGCGCGCGTTGCAAAGCTCAACCTCACATTACGCTATGATCTTCATTATAGCATTGCGTGTGCTTTTGATAATACATTATTAATTTTTCGATGAGACTAATCTTTGGACAAAAAAAAACACAAGCAATAATTATGCGATGTCTCAAATAAATCAATAATAACAAAGAAAAAAAGTTACAACTTATTAGCTTTCAAAATCATGGCTTTTTATTGACGAATACTAGTGATGTTTGTAAAAAGTAGAATGGAGAATTCCTGTCTATATTCTTATCAAGTAAATGACTAATTCGTTTTCGTAAGCGTAATCCACAAACAATATGCATCAATCACTGCAGATGTGAAATGCTACGATAAATATAAACAAAGCAAAATATGAGAATGCATACTTTGCACTCTTGATATTTAAAACAAAGTGGAAGGAAGGAGAAGCTTTTTATAATGCTTATATATAAAATCCGATTCATTGTTATATAAATAGTATTAGAAATGACATTGAACACTTCTGAATTAAAATATAATTTTGAAAAAAAAGTGTTAAAACATTTTTAAATTAAATCATGAAATTAGACCCTTGGATTCTCTTAAACATTTTATTCTCTATAATATTTGATATAATGATGAATATTTTTATTCATCTACTACAGAAACGTACTTCTGAAAATCTTTTTTTTTTTTTTTTTTTTTTTTAAATTTCTAGCGAATATCAAATTAGCTCATGTAAAGTAGTTTAAGAAGCAGATATGTAGTTCTTTAACTGGATATTTATCGCGCGATGCATTGTTAATTCATTAGTTTTCGATGTAGAAACACAAGCGGACGATTTACCTGTGTAATAAAATAATAGAAAGCGATCTTAACCCACAATTTCATAATTGCCGTGTTATTAGGCCAATTAGTAACGACGTATTCATCTCGCGGCGATTATTACCGCGGTCTTGCAAACAGTCGTATCGCGATATTGCTTAATCCTAAAGATTATCGTTAATTTTGTACAAATATGTCTATTGAAATTGATGAGAATGCGTCGCTTATGCTTATAATTTTTTTTAGATATAATTGAGTTCTTACATTTTTTTTCGTTTGTTGCGTCTCTGTTCTTTGCCACTTCTCTCTCATTGCTTTGCCACTACTTCGCATTCGTTCGTCCTCACAATAGTTGTATATTAACGCTCGTAAAAATTTGTCGTTTTCTCTGTGTCTTATTACTGTCCAATATCTTAGTTTTATTCTGAAATCAGCATGAGAGACTTTGGAATGAACGAAATCGTAATACTTGATTAATCTCTTGATTAATACTTTTTGCCAAGCGCTTTGTTCCCCTGATGGGCAGTAGGAATGGAAGGAGAACAGGGTTGATTAGCTATGATTTTGTCGCACGCGATGCAGGTGCAGCATCACCTTCGTGGATCGTTTGCAAGATCAAGGTTGCCGGTTTTGTGGGTAAATGTCCTCGAGTCGCCTTGAGAGCCAGTGTGCTCCTCCGTAGACACTCCTCGCGCTTATCGGCCATTATAGTGTCCCTCCTCCGCACCATTCTGACAATATATCTATATACAGTTTAATGATCCACGTTGCCACACGGCACCCAGGCTCAGTGATATCGAATATCGAATATGTGATCACGAATTTGTGATCACGAGGATTCACGATACTTAGAATTCTGATTGCCTTGAGAATCGCATCTCCATTACAACGATAGAGACAGAGAAATATTCCATAAAACTTTAATTATATAAGCGAAGATATACAAGCTAAGTAAGCGCAGATATCTACACAGATATTAATCAAACAATTTAAAGTACAATATTCAATTTATGGCATTCACGTATATGTTATTAATAAAATTAATAAAAGTAAAGCAGTAAAGTATCGGTTTTGTATGTTACTCGTATTCCTTAGTACAATGAATGTATGAAGTTGACTATTTAATTACAATATTATATAGAGCGTCCCGTGATTTGCGATCTTAATTTTAAGATTTTATTGTAAATCACACTGTTCGGTTTATTATTTAGAAAATAGTCGCATTCCTTTCTTCATAATATTTTATTGTAAAATATGAAATTGCGCGAAATCGTGCAGTTCTAGAGGACAAGATAAGACGGAAAAGTTTGAAAAGTATATTAGCGTGCGACCATTCCGTACCGCCCACTCGTTTGTAATCGCAAGCGAAGCCGAAGCATTTGACTTCACAAGACGATTGAGCGTAGGCGTGTCTCGAATTTTATTCGTAAAAAGAGTCACATTGCTGGCATAGGTTGATATTCGACAAGTAAATCAATTCATGAATCGAAGCTCTTTCCTCGAATGAAGTAATAATATTAAACAGTGATTCTTAAATCGTATCGACTCTACTCTAGATGCAGATTCTTCGGCAGACTCCGCGAAACACGTCAGGTGGTTAAAGTCGGCCGCAAAATGCGCAATGAAAGTTTCTTTGTACGGAACTCGGGTCCGTGAAAATGAGGCGGAAGGAAAGATTTGTGAGATCGGGGACTCTCGCGAATAAAATAGGGAAAGAGAAATTGTAATTTAGCGATTATTATTTATATCGATACACGCTCGCGCTGTATCGCGCGGCTTTTAACACCGCGGACTGTAACAATCCCGCGAGGGGCCAAAACTCCGGTCGACCCTCGTAATCCCACCTTAAGAATCTCGGAAGGAGGCAGGGAACGGAGAGATCTCAAGTGTGCCGCGGTGCTGCTCGAGCAGCGTGCGAGCGAGAGGCCGCGTTATCACGGCGAAGGGTGCCGAGGGAGATGGAGCGAGAGAGAGCGGGATGCTGCGAGCAAAGAAGGCAGGCGAGAGTGGACGAACGGCATGCCACCACCACTCCCATATCCTTATGTCTCTCTCTTACCTCTTCTTCGTTCGCTCGTTCCTGCGCGTTCAATCCTCTCACCTACTCTTTCGTCTGGCGACTTTTACACGCGCGAGCCGGCTTCCCACCCGTAGGTTTCTCTCTCTCTTTCTGTCTCTGTTCTTCTCTTCGAGCTCTCCCCGCGCGCAAGAGAATCGCCGTGAGTCGCGGAGAGTGCGCAAAATGCCAGTGATTCGACGCGACTTGGAGTACGCGCCTCGACGGCGAGACGAAGCGGGCGCCGCGCGAATTCGAACGCGCGTACGCGCGTCGAGCCGTCGTCGTACGCCACGCGATCTCGGAGCGTGCTCGGTTCGTGCGTGAGCTCTTCCGAAGTCTTTCGAAGAATTTTATTTTTTGAAGCAATCGCAACGCACGATCGAGTTTACGCGCGAGTAAGCTATCTCGCGTGTCTCGCGGCGCGAGTGAGAGGTTTCTACTTGCCAATTGAAAGCCAATAGAGAATTGTGTCTGCGAGTGTTTATAGTGGACGGCAATGATTTTAAACGATCACCAGATATTTGTGAGTGTCTGGACGGAACGCGCCATTTCCGACAAATGTTAATCATTTTAGTGAATATTTGCCAGAATTTTATAGGATATATCTGGTGGTGCTAAGTGTATCTTTAGTGCATAAACAACAAATCACACGTTTAAGAAATAAAAAAGTATATTTTCATAATGCAAAAACGCAGATTTAATTCATCTGTTAGATAACAAAGCTTTGATTTTAATATATTTTTATATATTCCTTTTTCTTTGACTTTAAGTGGAAAGTAAAATCAAATTTAATGAAAACTTTCCTACACGAAACAAATTCCACGTAGAAAATTACGCTTGGATCATCGAGAGAGCGTGTGGAGAACGACTGAGGAGGAGAGGAAAGGGGTGTGGGACAAACGCCGTAATCGTCCGAGGGCGGAGAAAGTATCTGACGAAGTTTCAAGGTATTTTCGTGGCAGTTAAGCCGTTGAGCGAGATATTCAAAGGAAATTGCAATTGATCAGATAAGAATCGATAAACGACAAAATATAAATAGCATGGTTTAAGAAGAAAACATTTGAGCTGTTTACTGATAAATGATTAAGTGATACATCGATATTAAATAGAGAAACACAGATATAAATGGATATATCAATTACGAAAGAAAATTTATATCGAATATTGTCTTAACAATAGTAATAATAATAAGTAAATAGTGATCGTCAAACTTTGTCGTGCATGAGAAGAAATCACTTTCTCGAGACCGAGTGCATTGACTTCAAAGACGCTCGTGCAATTCGCGTTGAATCTTTTCGTATAGAATGATCATTCCGGTCGAACCCAGGGCACGGAAGAAAAGGGAGGAGGAGGGCAATGAGGAAGATGGAGGAGGAGCGGTGGTGGTGGCGGCGCAGCAGCACGGCGTCGAAAAAGGAAAGCCACGCTGATCATCCACGACTGGAAGACCTCGGCGTTGCACCTTAGCGGGCCTTAGTGCAACGGAGAAGAGGAACGAAAGAGAGAAAGGGATAGGAAGGACGAGGAGGAGGATACGGATAGCGAAAGGGCAAGGAGGGCAAGAAGAAAAAAGAAACAAAGAGTAAAGGGATTGAGAAGGAGAAACAGAGAGAGAGAGAAAGCAACGAAGGAGGAGAAAGGAATCCATAAATTCACTTTTGTTTCCACAAATATTGCCTTTCGTAAATCCAGAATTACCAAGAATCTTATTAACTTTGCAAACTCCTCCGTAAATTCTCGATTGTGCAAGATACTTTTGCATTTATAGCTTTCTTATATCACTCTTATGTAGATCTTTGTGATCCGCGAATGCATCCATTAATCTTTGCCACATAAATGTATCTGATATCACTTAGAGATAGTATAAATCTGTAGCGATTCTACTTCCGTGAATTGAGGTTGGTCGCGTTGCCTCATGAGGCCCCTAACCTTCGAGAACCTGAGAAGGCTCGTGAGCCGCAAGAAGGATCGCAATGAGCCCTCCTTCAAGCGCAGCGAGTCCTTCAAGAGAATTTCTATTAGGAAGAGTTATTTGGATCGGGGTAAACGACGAAACCGCCTCCAGAAAAATTTAGAGCCTGTTAATTCTACTCCGCAACCAGCAGCAAACGATAAAATTGTTTCTCAACAAATTAAGGAGCAAGAATGCAAGGATCAAGAGTGTTCCCTCAGTCGCGACTCCATCACTTATGACGAGTGGCTTCAAGGAGTCAGTTCTTCTTCCCGCGAGAAACTTCACGAGGATCATCTCGAATCTCTTCAGCATTCTAAAACTAAGGCTACAAAATTTGCCACACATACTGACACGGATTCGATTGTCGAGGATCTGAAAATTCTTGAGCTCGATGCTTCGCCTATTTTAACACCTAAATCTAAATCCTTTGGGATTGTTACGGAGTTAGATCGGGACGAGACGACCAATGGGCACGACAACCTTTGGACTCAAGAGTCCTCTATAGAAGGATCGCTCAGTGTCAGCATCAGTCTCGGCAGGATATGGAGGGATGCGGTACCAGTTCCGGTCTCAGTTCCGGTATCGGTTCCTTCGTATTCCTCTGTCTCGAATTCTTCAGTTCATCATTCTCTGGACAGCGCTCTAAAGGAGAAGAAACCGCAGCCAACTGTTGCAAGAACAGTTTCGGCACCAGAGAAGCCTGTCAGCAAGGAGACTTCGTCATCCTTTGGTTTCTCTCTTAGGATTGCCAGATTCGCTGATTTTAGGCCAGGGTGATTAGTGTGTCGATTAAGGATCGATCAGTGAAATAATGAGAAAATGATAAAATGTGTTTATTTGATTGATTAGCCTCTATTGAATTTAAATCTTTAATTTTTTTGTGTCCGGAATCTTGCATTTAAGTAATTAATTACAATACTCGAAAGTTTTTTAGAAATGTGCTTTTTTGCTGTTCTAAGCAGCTAGAGAAAATGCGAATATAATCCGTATTTGGGCACGTATTATGTAACTAGTTGGAATAAATCTCCGATTGAATTTCCGAATTGGATTTCCGATTGGAATTATTCCATTATTTTTTTTCTTAGAAAACACAATAGAAATCTAGAGAATAATTGAACAATTTCTATTGAAATTGTAAAACAATTCCATAATATGTGCCCTAATCTACATACATAAAAGATAAAAAAAATTACTATAATTTTACATTAATGAGATTTTTCTTTGATTAATCACGCTTATGATCAACCAAAATCTACATATCATTGGTATTTTTGCAATGAGTTTCACTGATCGAGTCGAATATCACGTTCAAAAAGCATTCGATTGCAATCGATATTACTTGGCTCTAGGGTGACGCGAAATGGTCTCTTTCGTCGGAAGACACCTAAGCCATCACCAAGTGTGAGCACGGAGGGCTATTTCAAACGAACGAGCGCATCTAGACATTCTAGTTCTCGCCGTCGAAGTGGTAAAAGAACTTCTCAACGGGCTAGCAAGAAGAGTCAGCAACCTGCGATTCGCACCAGTAGTCCGGTATGGTTTGTCCCGCCCGAGAGACGTCGCTCGACACGTCAACGACGAGTTTGGCGGGAGATCAGATACTTTCCCGATGATGAGTGTCCGATCCTGGAAAGGATTAACGACTGGTCGTCAAACGTGTCAGATGACCAATTCGACGACCAAAAGCTGCTGTTGTCAGGTGATTTCAATGAGCGTCGGGAAGATGACGCCTTCAACTCGATAGTTTCATCGTCCTTGGGTTCTTTCTCGGCGACATCGTCCTCATCATCGGCTTGTCCAGTTCCAAAAATTAGTGACTTTAATGAGGACAAGCTGTTTTCCGAGGAGCTAAGGACTAATGGTCTTCTGATGCATGGATCTACTTGGAAGCTTTCGACGACAACGACAACAACGGCGACAACGGCAACAACAATGATGTCAATAGCAACGCCGGCGAGAACGATCATTTCTGGGAATTATTTTGCCAGCAGTCAGTTTGTTACCTTTTTAGCCAAGGACGTTGTCAAGGAAAGGTCGAAAAACGAAAGCTCCAATACGGGTTACAGATGTCTCTCGTCGACTGACAGCGAGGACGATGATGTTGATCGTTTCAATGATCGCAGAAAAAACTTTCCACAACAGCGGCAGCAGTATTTAAAGAGACAAAAATCAGGACTTAGAAGGAGACCCTTACGCCGGAAATCGCAATTGAGAAGAGCGTCTGGTCAGCCGGTATTCCTCGTGCGCAAGTGCTCATCCTTGAGAAAACGTCCTAGTAAGACCTGAATTATAGTTTTATAAGTTTTCTATAAGAAAGATGACAATAGCAGAAATAATAATAATATTTTAATGGATTTTTTTTTTAAAGAATCCCTTATAGATATTGTAGAATTTTCATTAAGTTTGACACAAAATTTGGAAAATGATGTGTAACGTTCAATATTCTTTTGCTCCATTTTTGTGACATACTTCCAAAACACATCGTTATTAGTTTTGTAATTACTTCTCACACACTTAACGAACTGAAATACGCATAATCTCAATTTGTTTAGGAGAAAAACTTACTCAAACTTAAGAAGGATTACTTGTTTTTATATCAAGTGCTATCAACATAAGACTTAAAGAGTTAATATTATTACTTTCGGAACAGACTAAGTATTGTGATAAATATATCTTTCAGTTTATAAACTGCGCACTGATTACTGGCGATCTAGAAACACAATCACAAATCAAAGTTAAAATAATACCAAAATAAATTATATTTAGTACAGTAAAGAAATTAATAGTAAATAATAGTAATGTAACAATCATTGGAAAAACCTAAGAGTTTCCGTGTGATTTAATTTACGTATATAATCTTGAATCCGCAGATTATTCGATACTTATTGAATAACAGGCGACGCAATTGAATCGCAGTGATTATGACCGTTTCTCGTGTTGAATCTATTTATTCTTTGCTCGACCGTTACTTCCATCGGCGTCTGACGGCGTTAATTGCGCAACATATTTCCCGCGATCGGTTTCGATGAGCTTCTTGTTCGATCGCGAGCCTGCACGCGTATCACAGTCCAACATGTCTCTCACCGCGGTTTTCGCTACTTCCTTTGAAGGCCGAATGACATAACGAGTGGAAAAATTCCTTGGAATCTCTTTAACATTCGAATCTTAAAGTTTAAAGTAAAGAAATGTATTGAAAAATCATCGCCTTTGCTTAATTGTACATTTTATTAAATGTTTAATATGGATTTATATCATTTTTAGAAAACATTTAAATATATAAAGTATAAATAATTTCAAACAAGGCCGACACACACACACACACACACGCACACACGCACAC